AAGCCTTCACATCTATTACTAACTAGGAAGAACAATTTATACAAAAAAATATTATTGAAGAAGAATATTATTTCTTATATACAAGGAACATAATCTCTGAATTTAAAAATATACTAGAATTAATTAGTAGTGAATTAGACATGTCAGAAAGTCCACTTGTTAATTGTATGCTAACCCAAGGAATATTCCAGAAATCCGAGGAAATAGAAAAGGACATGAGTAGAACATATGATTCCTTCAAATTTATTCACAGTGATGCTCAACTAGAAAACATTAAAATTTCCATCAATAACACAATAGATCAATAGTGTTATATGTATACAATGGAATAAAATATAACAACAATTTAAATAGTATTTGCAAAATCATAGGTGGATGAATCTCGTAATGATACTGTTGAACCAAAGAAGCTGACACACTGTATGAGGCTAAGCAAGCATGAGCTGTCTACCAGGCCTGAGAGGACCGAGTGCTGTGTGCGGGCTCAGCCCCCGGGTGACCAACGCTGTGGCCGCACCAGCCGCCGAGGTTCGCAGTGTGACTCCCAGACACCCTGGCATTACCACGAGGACACATTGAAAAGCCCCACGATTCTTACGTACAACTCCTGGCAGATACACAGCACACCTGACGTCACAGAGCAAGGTGGCAGGTAGAGAGGGCGGGCATCGGCCTGGGGTTCTGGTTCTGAGGGCAAGACGGGGGGCCTAGTGATTCAGGGGCTCACACTTTATTGTTGAATTCAAAACATAAAAGCAGGAATTGAACACGCAGCAGGAGGAAAAAAAAAAGGGACTCAAATCGCTCCGATGTTGAAATGAACCCAATGTCTCTAGAGCCAGGCAGCCTGGGGCTGGGCTTGGGGAGGCGCCGGCGGCTGCTGCTTGGCTCCTTGTCAGACCCTGTGCCTGGCCGTGCCCTGTTAGTCCACATGGCCGCCTTAGAAGGGGACGCCTCAGCAATCAAAGCCTAAGCCAGGTATTTGCACTGAAAGAAAGCTCCAAGAAAAACACCTGTGATGGCTTAACACTGGTTACTTTGAGGCTATGGCACAGAAGAACTGACCAGTGCCACTGACCACACAAACACCTACTGCTTTCCTTACAGGAGGCTACAAAACTGTGTGAGTCCCTTCCATGCTCTAAGTCTCAGTGTATCACCTACAAAATTAGGAGTCAAATCAGAACATTTCCAAGGCCTCTTTCGCCAGAGTGTGTGTGGTTCCCCTGGGGGAGAGGGGAAAGAGCAATGCATCCTGCCTCATCGGCACAGAGGGCCACCAGGGGGCAGAAGAGAGCAAGCGGGGATTCAGGAACATCCCCACCTTCACCCCCGCTGGGGGTGGACAAAGGGAGAATGAAGAGCTCTCTCTTGAGACCTGTGTGGTGTGAGGCTGACACCGAAGATGCTGCTGCTTCTGCTGCTTCTGCTGCTTCTGGGGCCCAGTACGAGCCTTATTACCTGAGTGGCTTGGGCAGAGTGTGTGTGTGCTGGCAGGAGTGAGGGGTGGCCAGGCCTGGGGTTTTGTTTATGCTGATCCAAGGAGAGGGGTCAAGGGAGACCTCACCAGGCAGGGCAGATGGGGGCTCAGGATCCAGGGAGTCTGACGGGAAGATTTCACAGAGCAGACAGGACTCCGGGGGCGGGAGGAGAAGGGGAGCGGGCGCAGTTGGGAGGCTCCTGCCTGTGGGCAGCTGGGACAGGTCCCCCCGGCCTCCTCACAGCTCTGACCTCTGTCCTGCAGGCTCCGGGCTCGGTGCTCAGGTCTCTCAGCATCCAAGGAGGGTCGTCTGCCCAAGTGGGACCCCCGTGAAGATCGAGTGCCATGCAAGGGACATTCAGAACCCAACCATGTTTTGGTATCAGCAGTTCCCAAAACAGGGCCTCGTACTGATGGCGATTTCAAATATGGGCTTCTCCGCCGCACACGAAAAAGACTTTCCTGAGGAAAGATTTCCCATCAGGCGTCTGGACCAGACTTCCTCAGATCTGACAGTGGCGAGTGCACGTCCTGCAGACAGCGGCCTCTACTTCTGCGCTGCTAGTGACACAGCGCTGGGCACAGATCAGAGTCCCAGGCAAGAACCCGGGGCCCTCTTCCCACCCCCGCGGCTGGGGAGCCCTGGGGAAGGCGGTGTGGAGGGAGGAAACCCACAGCTCCTGTGACGGTGCCACCTGCGTGTGGGGAGAGGGGAGGCAGCCTCAGAGAGAGGATATAAACCCGTACCCCGAAGTCTGTGTTTCTCAAAGGTTGTGCTTTGTATACCAGTCTGTACAGCCTCTTTTTCTTCTGGAATAATCTTTGTTTTTGTGGCCTTGAGCCTGAGCTGCTATAGGACACCCCAGAGATGGTAAAAACAGAGTTGGATAAATTTGTCTGAAATTAAAGAGACAAGCATGGAGCCCAAACATTGCTTTTTAGAACATATTATCTCAACTTTTCGTGATCTCATTGAAGAGTTTTTAAATCTCATCATTCATCAAATGTTGGACACCTAGAGAACCGTGTGTCTTCCTTTGGCTTTGATGTAATGATTTGAGAAAATCATAAGGCAGATGCATGCAAAGGCATTTCAAGTACACAGTACCAAGGATGTCCACCCTCCCCAGAACAGGGTATAAAGCACACTTTTCTGCTGCGTTTCTGTGTCTTGATTTTCTGAAATTCTTACACACACTGCGGTCATTCCCCTCCCTGCCCTGGAGGAGCAGGTGGAGGCAGAAATAGGGCCTGGGTTCCAGAGGGCTGACGGGTGTTGGTGAGGCCCCAGGAGAAGAGCCCCCTGCCCCTTCCTGTCCCAGCTGGAGCTCAGGCCTGAGCAGGGCTGAAGGGGGAGGGTCAGAGCACACGCCATTTAAAGGGCCAGGCAGGGGACTTCAGGAGAAGGTCCTCTGAATACTGAGCTTCTGAGGAGAAAGAAAAGTCAAAAGGGAAGGAAGATGGGTCTTCTGCCCCCTGACTAGTAAAGGAAAAATAGAAGAAATCAGGGAAATTTTAGAGTCCTATAAATCAAAAGAGAATTATGAAATAAGAGGACTCCTACCACCCTACCCTCTTAAAAAGGAAAGTTACTGGAGCGTTTGGACTTTGCTACAACAAGTTGATTAAGCTACATATATTGTAAACATTCTGAAAATGAAAGAAAGGAACATAAAACCCATAGGAATAGACAAGAAACAAACAAACACCTTAACTGCTTCCCCCAAAACAATCATGTGTCAGATGTAAAATATAAGTCTACAATTCAAACAAATACATTCAAGCAAGCAGTGGAACAGAACCAACCTAATCAGAAGTTCAAACATAATGAACAGAAATAGCAAAAACAGGAACAAAAACAATTTTTTAAAAATTGAACTCAGGAAAGAAATGAAAGCAAAAGACAAACTTATCTACGGCACAAAGAATATATTAAAAGATACCCACAGAATACTCAGACGAAGGTTTAGTTTGGGCACGGAAGAAAACCAGGGAAAGAACATATAAGAGACTAAAAGACTAAAAATGGCAAAAGTAGAACCAGCCAGGGAGAATGTTCTTGAATGAAATTGGGCTTTGGCAGGAACGCAATGGACTTGAGCAGAGCAGTATCCGTGCAGCGATGGGACTAAAGACGAATCCCGTGCTCTCCTGTGACCCGCGTGTCCACAGGCCACTGTCCTGGTCACACCTCACCTTCACTAGGAAGGTGCAAGCCAGCGGGCCAATCACAGTGAGACTCTGCTGGGTGCCAGCCCTCTCAGGCCACAGGGAGGCACAAGTGGATGGGGTGCAAATGATTCAGGGTCCTCTGCTCTGTCTCCTCCTCTCCAGGGTCTCCTCCCACCGTCCACTCTAGCCTTCTGGCACCTTCTGCACACACAGCCAGGGGATCCCCAGAGCTGAGTTTTGTTGTTGTTGTTGTTGTTTTTTACTTCATTTGTCTTCCTGCAAGTGCCTGTAGCTACAGGGGACCCCTTCCCACTATGGGCAACCAGGCGCTCTGCTGTGTGGCCCTTAGTCTCCTGGGAGCAGGTGAGTCCTGGGTTCAGGGGCAAACTCTTGTTCAGAAGGTGCTATACTCCAGATCTAACTAAGACTTTCCCCTGTAACAGCAGTAGAGGCACCCTCTTGGGCATTGCATCCAGAATCTTCCTCTTTCTTCCATAGGCACAGTGGGTGGCGGAATCACTCAGACCCCAAAATACCTGTTCAGACAGGAAGGAAGAGAAGCGACCCTGGAATGTGAACAGGACTTTGACCATAACTCCATGTACTGGTACCGACAGGATCCGGGACAAGGGCCGCGACTGGTCTACCTCTCGTATAGTGAAAAGGATGTGCAGAAGGGAGAGCTGGCAGAAGGCTACCGGGCCTCTCGGGAGAAGAAGGCATCCTTTCCTCTCACCGTGACATCGACCCAGAAGAACCAGACAGCTCTGTACCTCTGTGCCAGCAGCTTAAACACAGTGAAGTGCAGCCACCTCCTCTCTGCACATAAACGGGTCCCCAGCCCTGCTTGCCCACCAGGTGGCAGCGCTTTTTTGCTCTCAGCCCCCAGCCTTGCCTGCTCTCTTCCACCTCAACGAGACACCCAGCAGCCGCTGCCCTCGCCATGCCGTGGGGAATGGCGCCACACATCAGCGATCTATCTATCCTTTTCTATTTATCTATCTATGTACCATCTATATATATATGTGTGTGTGTGTGTGTGTGTGTGTGTGTGTGTGTATGCGTGTATATATATATATCGTAAGAGAGAGAGGGAGAGAAAGAGAGAGACAGAGAAACGGATTAATTTACAATTCACCCTTTTCTATTTTATCATACATTGGAAATATAAATAAACGAAAGTAGTTCCTTCTTTCAAGAAAATAATCAAGTTAATGGAGAGAGCAATGTGTAGAGGAGAAACACTATAACCAAATGGCATGACTGGGCTCTTCAAGCAGAGACGTGAGACGAAGATAAGAAGGAGCCGGGCCGGTTCTGTCTGGTGACACCAGGAAGGGCTTGGAAGAGGAGGCAACGTGTGGGGTGAAACTCGAGTGATATGTAGGGTTTGCAAGATGGACAAGCCTGGCAGTGACACAGGCCTTGGGATGGTACAACGTGGGGACAGAGGCGATCACCACCACCCCTAGAACATGGCAATGGGGGAAGATGGCAAGAATGGGAGAAGCGAAGTTGTTGGACACCACTGAGTTTCTGGTTCTACTGCTCCTCTTTCGGTATCTGCAGAGAAGCCCCACTAGACTCCCGTACATGCACATCTGGCCCTGAGAAGGCAGAGTCGGCTCCAGGGAAACCTGTGCCTGACTAGTCAGCAGAGAGGTGGTCAGGATTATTTTGCAAGGGTCTTTATTGTTCCCTGTGTATTTCATCCTTTTCTGGTCTGCCACCTGTATATCGGATTAAAAGGCAAGCGGTGTTAATTCTCGAAACAGCATTTGTTCACAAATTTTTGTTTGATCACATACTTCTGAATCTAGAAATGAATGGCAAGCTACAGTATTCAGGCTAAACCTCCCACTTCATGCAATTAAACATACTAGATTGGATATATTTTAAAACCCTCTTGGAAAATTTCCACACCCCAGTCTGTTCTGCGTTGCCTTGTGTTTCCTGGGACCTGCAATTTCTGGAAAAATGTAGGGAGACCCTGACCATACCATACAAACTTTGTTCCACAATTTATCTTGAATTCTTCCTGATTTCTATGTTACCCTGGCTTTCCTCTCCCGCATGTTCTGTGCACGTTGGACTCACATGGAGACCAACGTGCGGAGCTACAGAGGTGGGAACCAGACAGCAGCCCCTGAATAGGGTTTGTACCTGGGAGTGGGGTCCGACGGGCGCCCCAGCTGTCATTGCAGCTACTGTCCTCTAAAAACAGTTGACAAACAAACAACCCAAAATATTTTAAATGGGATGGATCTAAAGTGATGTACTTTGTCCCAGCCATGTTCACAGACACCTCCAGATCAGCAGTTTCTGGAGCCACCTGGTGTAATCACGGACTTTTGCGGCTGTGGGGACACAGACCCAAGCTCCCAGCTCCCGAGTGCAGGTCAAACTCAGGCGGCAATGGGCTGCGGTGAGGCTGTCTGTCCAGTGAGAGAGACGAGATAAACAGAGAGCAGTGAGAGACAGTCTTGTTTTACTTTGCCTTCTTGAGCGTAACTAGCAGGGTCCAGATCCCTCCTGACGGTAAAGAAATTTATAAAACAAAGCATATGGACCTTACCTGATGTTAAAATTTCCACTGGAAAACTCTTACCTGTGCACTTAAGATTTGCATAGTCTCGTATATGTATTTTACTTTGTTTTTTTTTGTGTATGTATTTTAACCGTTTGCTTTCTCCTGATATTGCAAAGAACTCTTTAGCTGTGAGTTTGCTAATAGCCCCTATTTCTATGAGCAAGAGAGTTGTTGTAGGAAATGAAAGTCAAAAAAGTAAAAATATCACTAATAAACAACCATGACTGGTGTGGCTCAGTGGATTGAGGGCCTGTCTGTGAACCAGAGACGCAGTGTTGACTCCCATGCAGAGCACATGCCTGGGTTGCAGGCCGGATCCCCAGCAGGGGGCGCACAAGAGACAACCACACACTGATGTTTCTCTCCCTCTCATTCCTCCTCCCTTCTCCTCAGTCTAAAATAAATAAATAAAATCTTAAAGAAATAAAAATAAATACCACTAAATAGTTCCATAACAAGTTTGAGAAGCCATTACATCTATTAGTAACTAGGAACAACAGTATATAGAAAAATATAATCAAAGAAGAATAATATTTCCTAGGTACAAGAATCATAATCTCTGAATTTAAAAATTACTGGAAGTAATTGGGAGTAAATGAGACAAGTCAGAAAGCCAGCTTGTTAATAGTATACTACAATGAGGAATATTCCAGAATTCCGAGGAAATAGAAAACATACCATCCTAGCAGCTTATTCACGATGACCTCAAGCAGGAAAACACTCAAATGTCTATCAATAATGCAAGAGATCAATAGTGTTATATGTATACAATAGGATAAAATATAACAACAATTTAAATAGTATTTGCAAAATCATAGGTGGATGAATCTCATACAGATACTGTTGAACCAAAGAGGCCGACACACTGGATGAGGCTAAGCAAGCGTGCGCTGTCTACCAGGCCTGAGAGGACCGAGTGCTGTGTCGGGCTTAGCCCCCGGGTGACCCACGCTGTGGCCGCACCAGCCCCTGGAGGTCGCATTGTGACTCCTCAACACCCTCGGCAATTATCGAAAGACCCACGATTCTTACGTACAACTCCTGGCAGATACACAGCACACCTGATGTCACAGAGCAAGGTGGCAGGTAGAGAGAGCGGGCACCGGCCTGGGGTTCTGGTTCTGGGGGCGAGACGGGGGCCTAGTGATTCAGGGGCTCACACTTTATTGTTGAATTCAAAACATAAAAGCAGGAATTGAACGCGTAGCAGGAGGAAAACAAGAGGGGCTCAAATCGCTCCGATGTTGAAATGAACCCGAGGTCTCTAGAGCCAGGCAGCCTGGGGCTGGGCTTGGGGAGGCGCAGGCGGCTGCTGCCTGGCTCCTTCTCAGACCCTGTGCCTGGCCGTGCCCTGTTAGTCCACATGGCCGCCTTAGAAGGGGACGCCTCAGCAATCAAGCCTAAGCCAGGTATTTGCACTGAAAAAAAGCCCCGAAAAAAACAAACAGAAAAAACACCTGTGATGGCTTAACACTGGTTATGACGCAGACCTACTGACCAATGCCACTGACTACACAAACACCTACTGCTTTCCTTACAGGAGGCTACAAAACTTGTGTGAGTCCCTTCCATGCTCTAAGTCTCAGTGTATCACCTACAAAATTAGGAGTCAAATCAGAACATTTCCAGGGCCTCTTTCGCCAGAGTGTGTGTGGTTCCCCTGGGGGAGAGGGGAAAGAGCAATGCATCCTGCCTCATCGGCACAGAGGGCCACCAGGGGGGCAGAAGAGAGCAAGCGGGGATTCAGGAACATCCCCACCTTCACCCCCGCTGGGGGTGGACAAAGGGAGAATGAAGAGCTCTCTCTTGAGACCTGTGTGGTGTGAGGCTGACACCAGAAGATGCTGCTGCTTCTGCTGCTTCTGGGGCCCAGTACGAGCCTTATTACCTGAGTGGCTTGGGCAGAGTGTGTGTGTGCTGGCAGGAGTGAGAGGTGGCCAGGGCTGGGGGGGTTTTTATGCTGATCCAAGGAGAGGGGTCAAGGGAGACCTCACCAGGCAGGGCAGATGGGGGCTCAGGATCCAGGGAGTCTGACGGGAAGATTTCACAGAGCACACAGGACTCTGGGGGCGGGAGGAGAAGGGCAGCGGGCGCGGCTGGGAGGCTCCTGCCTGTGGGCAGCTGGGACAGGTCCCCCCGGCCTCCTCACAGCTCTGACCTCTGTCCTGCAGGCTCCGGGCTCGGTGCTCACATCTCTCAGCATCCAAGGAGGGTTGTCTGCCCAAGTGGGACCCCCGTGAAGATCGAGTGCCATGCAGTGGACTTTCAGGCCTCCACTGTGTTTTGGTATCAGCAGTTCCCAATACAGGGCCTCGTACCCATGGCGACTTCAAATGTGGGCTCCCCCGCCACACACGAAACGGACTTTCCACAGGACAGGTTTCCCATCACCCGTCCAAACTTCACATTCTCAGCTCTGACAGTGGTGAGTGCGCGTCCTACAGACAGCGGCCTCTACTTCTGTGCTGCTTGGGACACAGCGCTGGGCACAGATTAGAGTCCTAGGCAAGAACCTGGGGCCCTCTTCCCACCCCCCTGGCTGTGTGGAGGGAGGAAACCCACAGCTCCTGTGACGGAGCCACCTGTGTGTGGGGAGAGGGGAGGCAGCCTCAGAGAGAGGATATAAACCTGTACCCCGAGATCTGTGTTTCTCAAAGGTTGTGCTTTCTCTACCAGGCTGTACAGCCTCTTCTTCTCTCTGGACTGATCCTGGTTTTGTGTCCTTGTGCTGAGCAGCTATTAGACACCCTAGAGATGGTAAAAATAGAGTTGGATAAATTAGTCTGATATTTAGGAGACAGGTGTGACCCCAAAGATTGCTCATTAGAAACACATCATCGAAATTTTTTGTGTCGTCATTGAAGTTTTTTAAATCTCATCACTCCACAAATGTGGGGCACTTAGAGAACAGTGTTTCTCCCACTGTTCTTTAATGAAACAATTTCAGAAAATCAAAAGGCAGATGCAAGCAAAAGCACCTCAAGTACCCAGTACCAAGGACGTGCACCCTCCCTGGGACGGGGTCTAAAGCAGGCTTCTCTGCCACCCTTCTGCCTCTTGATTTTCTCAAATTCTTGCACACACTGTGGTCGTTCCCCTCCCTGCTCTGGAGGAGCAGGTGGAGACAGAAATGCTGCCAGAGGAAAGAGAGGGCTGGAGGTGGGGGCGGTTGGTAAGACCCAAGGAGAAGAGTCCCCCTTCCTGTCCCCACAGGAGGCAGACCTGAGCAGAACTGGAGGGGAGGGTCAAAGAACCCTCAAATTAAAGGACCAGGCACTACGCTTACAGAGACGGTCCTCTGAATACTGAGCATCTGAAGGAGAAAATAAAATTCAAACGGGAAAGTGAAAGGTTTTCTCGCCCCTGGGTCGGAAGGGAAAAAGAACAAATAGGAGAAATTTTAGAGTCCTGCAATACAAACTAGAATTATGAAATAAGAGGACTCCTACAAAGAACACTTACTGGAGCATTTGGACTCTGCAGAACAACAGGATTAAACTGTGTATATTGTAAACAGAATATAAATTAACAAAAGGAACGAAGAAAAATCCACAGGACAGAGGGATAAAAGCACCTTCTTCTGCCTTTCCTGCTAAAAAGATCATATGCCAAAAGTACTATTTAGGTCTATTCTTCAAAGTAATATACTCTAGCAACCAGTTGAGGCCAATCAACCTAAACCAGAAGGTCAATAATTATGAACAGAAATGTCAAACACAGAGAGAAACAAAAGTTTTTTTTGATGGAACTCAGGGAAAAACTGAAAGC